GTGGCTGGATGGAAGAGTGGCTGGATAGAAGAGTGGCTGGATAGAAGAGTGGCTGGATGGAAGAGTGGCTGGATAGAAGAGTGGCTGGATGGAAGAGTGGCTGGATAGAAGAGTGGCTGGATAGAAGAGTGGCTGGATGGAAGAGTGGCTGGATAGAAGAGTGGCTGGATGGAAGAGGATAATGATAAATGGAGCAGGACTTCACAAATATTTTCAGATCTAGGAGCCAGCCCCAATACTCAGGAACCAGGTGTGCCTAACCTAACTTCCCAACAGTTTGTCCTGGGAAATGGGGGCTACACTAGTGCTTTGATTAGTGCTTCTGTTATCCATGATACTCAATTATCCACAGTTCTTTCTTTTCCCATAGTTTTCTCAAAATAATTGTGCCATTACAACTGTAGACAACAATTTACACATTTTGGAGAAGTTGTTGCTCAGAAATTAATTTGGGTTGCAAAAATTCAGGTGTTGCATGATATCCAGGGTTTTCGCATGCAGGATCTGGCATGCATTCAAATCATAAGTTGGCTGATATAAGCCTAGCCTTGCTTCTTTCATTTCTAGCTGTTAAGACAGGAATATGAAATATTTGTAGCTTGGTTAACTTTATTTCATTAGTAATTAAAAACACAGTATACAAAAATACACATTAAAATTTCACTCAACAACAGTTGTCGTCCGCTGTTCTAAGCTACACGGTGAGCATTCTTTAACCACAGATACATGTTCAGGTTGTGTTGGGGTGTCGCTCAGTTACACATTGTCCTCTTCCCTACAGATAATTGGTATCTTCAGTCTGTTTTAACAAAGACTTTTTCATAATAATTCCCAGGCATAGGTTTGTGATAATTTTAGACGTATATTTCACAGGTGTTGATAGGATGTGAACGAACTTCGATGTCTATAGCAGAAAAAGTGCTGAAATTTAGGAGTTATTTACACCTGTTTAGCAACTAAATTCAACTAAAATGGGAACAGGCAATCAAAAAGGAAGTATTATAGGAGGAACTGGACTCGTGTAACTCACAAAATTCGGAGAAACCGACTGACTGACCGACACACTTGTGACGAGTTTATAATTTTTTTATGATAATGTGATTAAACGACAGTAAAAAAATTATAATTTAAGACAAGTAGCTTAAATATATTGAAAAATTTTACATAGATTAAACTTTGGCTAACTAGTGAAATACATTAATGCCTCAATTATCCACTTAAATTAAATTATTAATTTAAGACAAGTAGCTAAAATATGTTTGAAAAATTTTACTTAGATTAAACTATGGCTAACTAGTGAAATACATTAATGCCTCAATTATCAGCTGTTTCTGTTATTTGTAATTTTTTGCTTTCCCTGTACCAGCACAGATAATCAAGACACCAGTGTACATTTATTTACTTTCACAGCAACAAGTGCATGCTGGAGATCACATGATATCAACAACCACTTGACACTGTTGCCTAAACTAACTGCCTTTGGTCCCATCTGAGTCTATAAACACATGCACTGATTGGTTGAATTGAGAGAAAGAAGATAAACAAAATGGCACGAAATTAGTAACTTGTTGTGCAACCAAAGTGCTTCATTCCTGAAAAAAACATGAAAAAGTGCTGAATCTGCCATTAAAATCATAGAAGCAAAGTGCTATTTAGGACTCAGAGAATGTGAAAATAGTTCCGGACTTCCAAGAGTCCAGAACTGTTCTAGATTCGAGTTCTATTTAGCACAGCTCTAAGCATGAATAAAATGGAAGAAGATATTAGGTGCAATGATGAAATTTTTAGTTGCCATGGCGACCTGGTACCTGGGATTTCTCGAGACCTGAAATGGAGTTCAGTCAAACTGGATTAATGCCACAAGTGGAGTACCTCAGAGTTCAGTCTTAGGACCTTTGTTCTTTTTGATTTACATCAATTACATAGATGAAGGAATGGTCAATATTAATATAATGAGTGTTGTTACCTGAAGAGGGTGCTGCTGATTTACAAAGGGATTTAGATCATTTAGTGAGTTGGGCAAACAAATGGCAGATGGCTTTTAATTATAATAAATGCAAGCTAATCCATGTAGGTTACCATAATTTGAATTATAAGTATAATTTGGATGAGAATAACGTTAACAGTGTCATGAAGGAAAGAGATCTTGGTGTAATAGTTGATCAGTCTCTTAAGTCATCCAAGCAATGTGCTGTTGCTAGTGGTAGAATAAATAGGATTTTAGGTTGTATCTAAAGAAATATTGAATACAAGTCCAAAGAGGCTATACTTTCATTGTACAGGTTACTGGTTAGGCTACATTTGGAATAATTTGTTCAGTCTTGGGCTCCTTACCTTAGGAAAGACATTGAATTATTGGAAAGGGTTACTATAATGGTGCCTGGGATGGAGGGGTTGCCATACGAGGAGAGGTTGAAATTTCTCAAATTTTAAGAGTTAGGGAGACCTGATTGAGGTGTTTAAGATTGTAAAGGGAATTAACAGTGTTGATGCATCATCTTTTTTCATACTTGACAGCGATAATAGTAGGACTAAGGGACACAAATATAAATTTTGACAGGGTAGGAGTCATCTTTAGCTAAGACAGTTTTATTTTTCTAACAGAGTGGTTGGCCTTTGGAATGGGTTACCTTTGGTTGTTATGGAGACAGTAACTTTAAGTGAGTTTAAGAGAAAGCTTGATAACTAATTGAATGATTATGGCTGGCTTTAATAATTTGTTTAAAATTTATTTATTTAATAACTTTAGATGATGGGACAGCTGAGATGGACGAATAGGTCTCTTGTTGTCCCTAAACATTATGTTAATAACCATTATTCACTTCACACTTTATTTCAGGTGTGGGTAGTTTAAATTATTTATCAAGTACTCTGTACGAAAATAACTCACATTTGACTTCAGGTTCATCATTTCTGTTGAAGTGATATTGGAGGAGTCTACTATAGGTTTTGGCCTGCCTTTCTGGGGACATATTAGGCCAGTCCACTGAGGAGGGAGCCCAACAAAATTCCCTTTACCCTGGTCAAATCCCGTATGTACTCTGTGCTGGAAATTTGTTGGATTTGAAATTACAGGCTTCTTCTTCTTGTTTCCAAACATTTTTTTTCTAGCCCCTGTCAGTCAAAAATGTTTCCAGTATTAGATAAAAAAATAAAAAATCAACATGCTATAATTAATTATACAAAAATAAAGCTAATTAGAGGTAATTACTGTGTGTAACTTTCAAAAACACAGACCTTCTGTTGGTTTTAATGTTGTCATCAAATTAAATTGGATATATCTAACAAATTTTAATGACACGATTTACTAACTTACAAAACATAAATTAAATTTGACACAAATACAGAAGTTTATTGGAATTGAAAGGGAAATAATTAAGATACAGAAAGATCAAATTCTAGAAAAGTTTTATTTTGTATAAATATATAATTTTTTTTACCTCAAAATACAGAACTCGTGACAAGTTAATCATACTGTGAATGAATGTAGACTTCAATAACCCAGCCATCTTATAACCAATAAATATGAGCTTTCCTGTATAAAACTTTGAAGGCCCTACTGCCATCCTAACATTTTGCTTGTCCTTAACATATGCTCATATTTATTATATGTTAAGGATAAGCAAAATGCTAGGATGGCAGTAGGGCCTTCGAAGGTTTATTCAGGAAAGCTCATATTTATTATATGTTAAGGACAAGTAAAATGTTAGGATGGCAGTAGGGCCTTTGAAGGTTTATACAGGAAAGCTCATATCTTAAAATATGTTAAGGACAAGCAAAATGTTAGGATGGCAGTAGGGCCTTCGAAGGTTTATACAGGAAAGCTCATATTTATTATATGTTAAGGATAAGCAAAATGTTAGGATGGCAGTAGGGCCTTCGAAAGTTTATACAGGAAAGCTCATATTTATTATATGTTAAGGACAAGCAAAATGTTAGGATGACAGTAGGGCCTTTGAAGGTTTATACAGGAAAGCTCATATTTATTATATGTTAAGGATAAGCAAAATGTTAGGATGGCAGTAGGGCCTTCGAAAGTTTATACAGGAAAGCTTATATCATATGTT